TGTAATAAAGCCCCCGCACACGGCACAGAGGGCACAACACCGACGCTGTAATAAAGCCCCCGCACACGGCACAGAGGGCACAACACCGACGCTGTAATAAAGCCCCCGCACACGGCACAAAGGGCACAACACCGACGCTGTAATAAAGCCCCCGCACACGGCACAGAGGGCACAACACTGACGCTGCAAATTAAACACAAAGAACACGGTGATATTAAAGGAGCAGTGTACCTGTAATGGGCGTTGCAGTACTGCTTGGCATACTCAGACCAGGTCCCAAACTGTCTGGGGTACAGGGCATCGATCTGCATGAAAAGCTTTGGGGTGGGAACAGGAGGGAAGGTTACTAAGGTGAGATATGGACCCCTCCCGTCCCAACGTGGCACACCTTCACATTCACAGAAAAGTGGCAGGAAGCAGAAGGGTGAACACATCTCAGCAGGCGGACGGTGACCTAAACGGAAGACTAGGAGCACGGCACAAAACCCAAAAAGTGTGGCACTGAAATGCTGACTGACTGGGGTTATGGAAATGATTACAGGTTATGGTCGCCCGGCTTACAAGGGTACGATAAAACCAAAGACACTCCTAGCTCGACTACGCCGTTTAATTGGACTACCATCCTTGTCCCAGTATACATGCATGATAGAGGAATAGATGTATTCACCAAAGTATGTCCAATGCTCCGCTACAATAGGTGACGATGTGGCTCCTTTCAGCTTGTTAGTATGACGTAAAAATTAATAAGATGAATAATAATGGGTGCGTGGACAAATGAAGTGACACAAGCTTTAATTGCAATCTGGTCGGAAAAACTGACACAAGATCAGGAGAGCATGACAAGAAATAAAGCATTTTGTAGAATATCCTTTGACAGCACGGTATTGGAATTTTTTTCAAATATTTTTTCAAACATAAATTTCTCACAAACCCGTCTAGGAGTGATTTAAACAGCAAGAAAGAAAATGATTGATTCGGAGAATGAATGCAGTGCTCATGTAAAAGCAGCAGAGGTAAACTTTAAATGCATTGTTAAACAAATACTAGAATCCTGAAAAGGAATAATCATAAAAATTGCAAAACTTACTAGGTTATTTTTGCGGCAAACCAACACCTTGAAGAACCGTACTTTTGGTACCTTCTTTGAAGTACGGTACCGGGTGTGGAGGAAAAGCGCCCTTTAGTTAAGCGGTGAAATGGACAGCTTTACAGTGCTCCGCGCTTCTTCTGTTACTTCCGGATCAAAGGGGGGGGGCAGTCTGGGCCAGTTTGAGTCCAATTGAATTCAACTCCTAATCGCATCATCTGGGTGTCTTAGTCAGACTTCGAGAAAGTCGATATAATTTGATTTCAGACTAATGTTTACGTGTATTTAACTAAGAACTTAAGAAATTTACAAACGAGAGGCGGCCATTTGGCCCATCAAGCTAGTTTGGGGAGAACCTAATAGCTCAGATTTGTTAAAATCTTATCTAGCGCTGGTTTAAAGGATCTCAGGGTTTTAGCTTCCGCTACACTAGCCGGAAGACTATTCCATACTCTAACTACACGCTGTGTAAAGAATTGTTTTCTCAAATTCAGTTTAAAATGTTCTCCTGCTAATTTCCACCTATGGCCACGAATTCTAGTATTTAAACTAATATTAAAGTAGCCATTTGGCTGAACAGCATCGAGACCTGTTAGAGTCTTATATACCTGGATCATGTCCCCCCTTAATCCCCTTTGTGCAAGGCTGAACGGATTCAGGTCAGCTAACCTCTCCTCATAAGACATTCCTCTAAGACCAGGAATCATTCTTGTAGCCCTACATTGAACCTTTTCCAAGGCAGCAATGTCCTTTTTAACTTTTACTTTAGAAGTCCGGTTTTAGTAGGACTAACACAATAATACGATTTTCTTAGCGTGCATGTATTAATGTATTGACTGATCTACACCAAACAGGATACTCATCACTTATTCATTATTCTACTCAAGCTAATCTGAACAACCCTTTTCAGCTGACCCCTCCATCGATCAGAAGCCCCACCCCACCCCTCCTTATAGATTACTCACATGTATGCGAGCTCACATCACCGAAGAGCCAGTCAACGGCGGTTTAGCGAGCGACCAGAAGCAGAGCCACAGCCAGAATACATGTGAGACTGGTTGCCAAGACAAAGATGTGCGGCATACCCAAGCCTAGACTTTTGATATTAAAGATATAGTACGCACTGACGCTAACAAATATTATGTATCAATAATATTTATATATACGATTTTATGCAATCTAAATCATTTTCAATATTGTTTTAGGCTTACGTGTCATCTGTGAGTTTCTGCAAGCTTTCAGTATTTCAAAAATATTCTTGTTTCATGTTCATGGCCGACTCACAAATAACCAAAACCACGAATGTCAAGTTTGCAAATGTGAATGGGTAACTAATTAATCTAAAGTCCACTGAACACTGAAAATAATTGTTTGTTTACACTTTGTTGTTGGTGTCATATAAGAAATGCTGTTTATAGTAAATTTCTATTTCCAGTAAAATGTTGCGGCTCCAATGGTTTTCAGTTAAAAAAACAAAACAAAAAAAAAAAAAATCCTGAAAGTGGCTCCTTTTCTTAATTGGGTTGCGGACCTCCATGCGAAACAGACATATGCCCATGAAATATACCTACTAGGCGTGCACAATGTGCAACATTAATGTCGACATTGCAAGTTATACACCAGACCATCAATAAATTTGGCTAAAACATTACTCTTAAAGGAAACAAAACTTAGCAAGCTCCGCAATTTTAATAATGGTTCCTACTCCACGTTATTAAAAAAAACGCAGCATAAAGTTTACCACCTCTGCCCTACAAACGCTCTCTGAGCCAATCATAATTATTCTTATCCTTGCTGTCAGACTCAGTCATAGACAGTGTGGAGCATTCCTGAGAAATTTAACAAAATGAAAAGCCAACAAGAACTGGTCACAAAAAAAAAAAAGACATTCATCTGCTGAAATGTTTTGGATTGCATAGAGAACAAAAGCAAGTGATTTGTCGGCACAACCAACAAAAAGACCAACTCCTTTAACATACAGTACAGGTATATTTTGGGTAAGTTGTCAACTCCTTTTTTGTTTTATAAATATCGCATATTTATCGCAAAAATTCCAAATACTGCATTTTTTTCAAATATCATGCAGTTCTACTGCCTGCACATGGGAGGTGGAGTTCAGGGGCAAGAATTAATTTTAATTTGTGAAAGAAAATGGAACTACCCATTTTAAATACTAACCAAGACTCCTCATACAGCACACAGCAGAAGATCAAGGATCGTTAAACTATAATTTGTTATTGTGTGTTTGCAAATTACAGCGGCATTAGAATTATTATATGCATATATATATATATATATATATATATATATATATAT